TGGCTGGACCGAATTTAACTCAGTAAAAGTCCAATAATTCTATGTTATCTCTTTTAGAGAACGGCCGGAGCAATTTTCGAAATTTCAACTTTTTATGACATTTACATACAACGCAATTTTTCCTTTTTTTTCAACATTTTCAATAATTAATATAATTTGTTAAAAAAAATACTTAGAAAAAAAGCTTCAATCATTCTAGAAATTATAGGATATTTACATGATTAAAATTGTCGCTGCTCAAGTCTCACAAAATTGTCATAACTGAGACATGTTTTTACTCGAAAAGTATACTAAGATTTTTTCATAATTGAATTTCTCTGACATGTGCTTGCGAGTGCGAAAACGTTGTACTCTCGACCTCACACCGGGTGTGTCTAGTGATGGCGATGTTCCGACCGACCATCCGTCACCGGCGCTTCCACAATTCCACATATTACCTATCAGTTACATATTCGTATATAAATATATATAACATTATAACCGTAATTAGTAAGTTAGATAATAAGTAATAACTACAACTTTATAAATACGATTTAATCCGAAATTCAAATGGAAAAGTAATAAGTTATTACTAATAACTTTATATGTTTAAATTATCACCAAGGCTGTGAATTTAATGCATTTGCATTTTTTTTTGCCACGCCGTATAATAATAATAAAATGGATTCGGTCAAAATTTGTTTTGACTTATATATAGTTCAAATACCAAATCTTATTTAGCATATTTTTGCATATTTCATGGGTTGTGGCATATAAATGCATATTTTAATGATTTTTTTTGTATAAATGCTTTTTTTTCGATCAATTTGTTCTAAATTGATATTAAATGTATTTGTATAAACTATGACTTGTATGGTTTCATGGAAACTATTCTATTTTTAGTCAAATATTACGTGTATTATTTACTATTGTACTATTGAAGTAGAGATTAAATTAATTAACTGATATCAAATCGTACACAACGGATGACAAAAATTGAAAACATATTAATACGCCTTTAGTTTGATGCGATCCATTGATCAACGTGCGTAGTGTGTGTGTGTTCGAGTATTATTTTTATTTGTGTTGATTTCTTTGTTGAATTATTTTATTGCATGTATTCAGTACTTCATATTTGTCACATTTTTTTTAAATAATATCGCTAAATAAAAATGCCAAAGGAAAAACATCAGTTGCGACCCGTTTAATAACCTACGTTTCGTAATTTGGAAATATATTTACAACGGACAATAAAATTCTATTTTGTACAGTTTGCAATATCAAAATAGCTAGCGATAAACGTTGTTCTGTAACACAACACATTGCAACTGATAAACATCGAAGAGGAATAAATCGTGTAGAAACAAAAAAAAATGTCAGCAACTTATTACAAAAGATTCGTCATCAAAATCTTTATTCAATCGATGATTTGTGTAAAGCAATGCTCAGTGCTAACATTCCACTTAATAAATTAAGCAATAAGTATTTCAAACAATTTTTAATAAAATACACGGCACAAAATGTACCAGATCAAACAACATTGCGCAAAGGAAATGTTGAATATTGCTACCAAGAAGTTATTTCAGAAATAAGAAAAAAAGTAGTGGGATAGAAAATCTGGGTTTCGATAGACGAGACGACAGATGCTGAGGGTGTTTTATCGCTTCAGTCATTATTGGCACATTACTCCCGGATCGTGCAGATGAAATTTTTTCGAACTTGAACATTTACAGAAAACAAATCATAATACAATCAGTGACGCATTTAATACATTCGCACCTCGGGGCAAAATAATTTTTCCGCCCTTCCCCCTTACCAAAAAAAAAAAAATATATATAAATAAATTCAGTAAAGCAATAAAAAAATTTGTTTTTATCAGTTGTTTTACGATACTGTATTAGATAATTTTATAGTAATACCATTGATTTTATAATATATATATAATAATATATAAAATCATTGGTAATACATATCTTAACGTTAATCTAATTTTTATTTTTTTTTTCAGTGAATATTTCTTTCTTAATATATACATATATATTTAAATATATAAAACGGAATTTATACTTATTATATTCACAATGATTAACAATAAATGTTTTTTTATTAGATTAAATATATTATATTCATTATTAATTTTATATAATAAAATAATCGATAGCTAATAATTTTTGTCTTGACTTTTGAGAAGAAAAATGTTCAATAATATCATTAAAATTAATAGTTTTCGTTAAATCAGCTTTGATGTTGAGGGTTGTTAATTAATTAAGACAATTTTCTTTCGTTGTTGATCTTATATAAGTTTTGACCCTTTTTAATGTAGAAAATGATTTTTCCGTTGAACAATTACTTGTAGGTGTACATACATAGTAGCATCCTTAGAGCAATATCAATATAAGGATATATTTCAACTGAACTATTCTCTTTTATAAATGCTAACATACATTGAACACTTTTAGGTGTAATTTTACTCCTTTTTTAAACTTTTTAAATGTGTCCTAAAGTGAATACCGCGTTCTGTGTACCCGAGTCTTTATTATAAACATTGAACGAAAATATATCTTATCGAATAATAAATGTAATATACCTATTTTGCTATTTCACTATTACCTAGGTGACTAGGTATAGTTTAATTTTTTTTATTTCTTATTAGATGCTCAACAGTATTTTTTAAAATACTAAACAATACCGAAAAAGGTGTGAAAATTAAAAAAATCATAAACACATAAATAATAAAAGTTAGAATATTTTGCCGTTCCCAAAAATTTGCCACCCGGGGCGTTTGTCCCTTTCGCCGCCCCCACCCCCTTTAAATGCGCCACTGAGTACAATACGTTCAGTATTTGAAAATTCTCTGTATTTATTATGGCCTGACGGAATACGTCGAAACGACGTATACTAAAATCTAAACAAATAAAACAATACAATTGACAGGTTAATCAAAATACCTATTGAATCTCAATAAAAGAGTTATCTCAAAATGTTGATCAGCTATTGAATTTCTTCTTTTATTCAATAATATTTAATAATATCAATTTTATTTAATAATATCATAGATTATGGAATAATCCTAATAATAGAGTAGAATTTTTATTAGTATTATTAGTATTATTTAGTCAATGATAATATGTACCCATAATAATGTAATGTATAATATAGATCTACGATCACTTTTCATGATAATGGTAATGTAATTCATGGGGGCATTAATACCGTGATAAATATAATGGTCTCATCTAAAAATTCTTCAACATTTTTATTTTTATATTTTTTTAAATTCCATGCAATTGTTATCAAATGCGGAATTTTACAAAAATATTTTTCTGGTCTTGAAATTTAAAATTAACTTAGTTGGGTAGTTGGAATAAATGAAAAAATAATACGTTATTTCAAGTTAATCAGTATGGAAATTAATTAAGTTAATAAGTTAATTTAATTTATTAGTAATGATATAAGTTAATAAGTAAATTAACTTAACTTTTAACTTATTAACTCGTTAATATTCAGGCTTTTTAATATGTACTTAAATATTAATTTCATAAAATATATACGAATACAAATGTTTTTAATAATTATTTCAATATTTTATTTCTATAATTTTAGTCAGTCACTTCCAAAAAATAATTTCTACGTTCATATATACCTTTGCTTATCTCCAAGTCTAATTCAATGTATTAAATGTATAAAAATTATTTATTTTTTTTGTAATATTTCAATATAATAAATATATATGAATATATATATATACTAACCTAATTTTGGAAAACAATGAATGTTTATTTTGAATTTAAGGGATCCAAGATATTCGAGTCCTCTCTAGCAATTATGTAAATATGTGGGATTATAGTCATCGTAGAATAGCACAGACGAGGGAGTATGTAAGATATATTTATTTCATGTTGAATATTTCTTCTCCTCCAATTCCAATTTCTTAAACTCGTATTGTCTAAAATAATGAAAAATTTTTGAGAGATTCTGATACTATCAACTACTATCGTATTCTACATAATATAATGTAATTCGGGCGGAGCAAAAACAATATTTAGGAGGTAGATGGGTGGTTTTAATTAATCTGTCCCGGTAAGATGTAAATGTTTTAACCACTATTGCTCAGGGTCCCTCGAAACAATACTTTGCTTGACGACGTGTGTCCAACGTTTGACGAACGAGAAAAATGTGAAATGCGAAATACTCACGCCGTGTTTCAACCGAAGACCGTCGTAGGTCACGAACATCGATATTCTATGGGGTTGTTACGGGGGACGGTAGGGGCAGTAATGATGGTGAAGTGTCGGAGGTTTCGCGGGGCGGACGGGCGTGTCCAACGGTAACAGTGGTGGTATCTTATACATGTGATAATAATAACCAGTGTCGTATTTTTGGAGGGGGAAGGATTCCCTGGTTTTGACTTTCCCAGAAAAAAAAAGCTTCAAAAGCCATAAATGATTTGCTTCAAAGGTACAGAGAAAGAAAACCTTAATGTATGTCTTGTGGTTGTAAATAACTATTAATTTGTGTTTAAAATAATAGAATAGTAGGTATAATTATTAATTCATACCTTACATGTATTTTTTCTAAATATTATAAAATCATTTATTTTACAGAAACATTGAACTCCCCCCCTCCCTTCCACAAAAAACTTGAAAATGCGCCACTGATAATAACAACAATAATAAAAATAATAATAATTATAACAATAACAATAATAATAATAATAACGATAATAGTCATATTAAAAGTAACAATGTTAAAACGAAAGTGAAACCGGCCGGCGGCGGCATGTGACGGGGAAAGACTCGTCCGGCAGTTGGGAAACGTGTGCGCGCGCGGTACGTCGCCGCCGGCTACGGATTCAGTTGTCTTTCGATCCGCACTCCGCGTTCGTTCAGCGTTCAGTCTTGCTAATATTCACCCAGCGTACGGTGGTGCTCGCACGTTTCCTGGCACCTCTTGCGTTTTCGTAACGTTTTCGGGATCCATTTTGGAGTAGTCACATCCTTTCGCCGGACTTCACCACTAATATGCCGAACATCATCAACGAAGTCAAGTTGGACTTCAAAGACGTACTGCTCAGGCCGAAAAGGAGCACGCTCAAGTCCCGGGCCCAGGTCAGTGTAGTTGCCTTCACGCGGTGTTCCGCAGGGACCAATCGTCGTAATCCGACCACGATCCATTTGGATTAATAATTTTATACTAACTGTACCTACACCATGTGGCCGTGTGCGATTTTCCACCGATAGTATTTTGATTTCGTTATTCATTGGTGTTGTGGTTACGACGATAGGTTCAGCAATCAATATTTATTACACCGACACGGTAAACTACTAACCCGTCGACCAATCTTTGGTTTTCAATCAATACAATATCAAGTTGGCTCTAAATATATGTGTACACCGAGTTTGCCTTTCAAATTCGGTTTTCCAGAATATTTAATAAAAAATTATCTCCTGTTTAATCGATCACTTATTTTTTTGACTTACGTAGGTGGATCTGTTTCGACACATTACGTTTCGTAACTCCAAGCGCACATATCAAGGTATACCGATGATGGCAGCTAATATGGACACAATTGGAACGTTTGAAATGGCAGCTGCTCTGGGAAAAGTAAGCATCTCTGTAATTTGTCTTATTACAATATTATCATGAAGTTTAATAGTAGTAATATCGAAAATATTTTTTCATGTATATATTTAAATGGTACTATAAAAAAATTAATTTATTTGAACATTTATTATTATATAGGTTCAATTCGCGTTATCTCAACTAATACTTAACAATTTTATTTTTTCGTATTTTTATTCGTGATAGTTACCATATTGAATTAGTACTTATTTGGGTAAATTTTAAATTATTTCTAAAATTTCCAATAAAATTTAAAATTAACAAATGCAGTTCAGTAAAAAGGATTAGATTATTAAATTTTGTGTGTAGTAATATAATTTTTTTTACCATATTTATGTATTTACTTTATATGATCTTTACGATAATGTCTACCATTGGTATGCATTGAGATAAAAATTGTAATTATTTAACCAGTTAATACTAACATTTACATTACAAACTTTCTATATCTTTGACCTACTTAATTTATACCCTTCTGTCATAATAATAACAATGATATTTTAAAACATCTTTTATATTTATAAATAGATTATCTAGAGTATAGCAAGGACTATTCTATGTTATATTGGCAACTACACAAAAATATCAACAATTATATTTTATTCAAATATCAGTTTTATATTACCTATTTTTTTCATTTTGTAGGGGGTTTTGAATCATTATGGAAAACATGAAATTTATATAAATATTGACAAAGGAATTGATATAAATAATATTATTATATTTAAGTATTTTATGGAATGGTTTTTATTTTTATTGGGTTCACTTGATAATTTTAGGGTAGAATAAAAAAAATTGGTAATTTTATATTTTATTGGTTTTACATTTTATAAATAATGTGTTTACATATAAGATTAATACATTGATCTTTTTATTATTATTTTATAATATTTTTATTAAATTGGTATGATAATTATAGTTACTTGTATATCAGAACTATGTAATTACTTACTACCTACTGATGTATTAAAATAGTTGAGTAATTTGTACTGTATCTAAATCAATCTTTAAGTACCTACTTACATATATTTTAATATTCAAATTAATTATTGTGTTTTTATAATCAATATAGTATATAAAAGTTTTGACTAAACAAAAATATTATAGTCACTAAAAGTGTTGCTTATTTTGGAAGTTATTGATCATTATTAGAGCTCGAATTTTAAAGTAAATGCTGCTTTTGATTAAAGTGTGATAGAAATATAATTTTTATACATAAAAACGTTTTGATTTATTCTGATTTTAATGAAGCAAGCCTTGTTTTGCTTTTTTTCTACAAACATTTTTTTTTTAATTCTTCCCCATTTCTTTTTTTATTTAATTTTTACCTAATTTTCAAGAAAATTAAACATTTTTATGTAGGTATATTGTACTATGTTTATATTATTATTGCCAGAAATTACAAAACCAGAGAAAAAACAACGATAAATGAATGACTGATCAAATAACTCTTGTTATTGTGCCAAAATTTTAGTCTAATTAAAATTGCCGTAATTACAATTTTATTTACGACTTAAGGGAAAATTATGTGAAATATATCTGCGATTTTTTTATAGCACGTTCAAATACTTTAGTTAATCGGTAAATATCAATCATTGAGGTATAGTGTTTTATATAAGTTAATCATTAAAATACTAAAAGATGAAAATTAAAAAAATCGTAAGAGAATTCGGCGAAAATGTGAAATGGCACTGCACATTAAACATTATTGTGGAACAGTATGATTTAAATGATTTAGTTTGTATTAAATATGCACAAATTACTTAGGTTGATGTAAAAATGATATTTCCTATGCATGAATATATATAAGCAGCCAATTGGATGAGTTTTAGTGAAAGTAACTTGACCAAATATATGGTCGTGAATTCCTTTTTTAATATTTAATTTATTTGTAATTTAAATATTATGATATGTTTTTATAGAATTAAATTTAACTATGTTTTTCTTTGATTTTTTTGGTTATTATAAATGTTTTTTTAAGGATTTAAATTGCTTTAAATTTTTATTTAAATCCGAGCCCTAGTCATTATTAATTGGTTCTGTGATTTGTCATTATATTAATAACGAATCAGTGTTCACTTATTTGATGACATATTCTTATAGTACATTAATTGAGACCCAAATAACTAATTAATTAATTTATGTTGTTTTAGAGTAGATGTTTGATTTCACTAATGAATATTTAAAATTTGGCTTACAAATCTCATAAAGTATTCACAGTATTGTAGTAGATGAGATTAATTACAAATTAATTAGGGTATTGTTATAATTGTGTATGGTTATTGGAAAAATTAAAAAAATATTATATAGTCTAACTAATTCCTTTGGCATTAGTGTTATGTTTATCATTGATTTTGATTAATGTGTTTTGTACCTCTATATGATTTCTATGAGAAATTGAAAATGTTGATTATTGTGTGCTAAAAACAACCAGACTTTTACATCCATAAAATATAAATATTAAAACTGTAATACTTATAGAGCCTAAGATTTAAGTATGTGTGTTCTACAACATTTTTAACGTTTGGACGAATAATTTTATTATGTGTCAATACAATGTAGTATAATTTTTAACAATACTAATTTTATAAAATATAACAATAATTAATGCATACATAATTTAATATAAATTCGTTAAAAATTCTTATAGAAGTATATTTTCGAAATTTCACATATGAACCTCATATTTACACGTGTATAATGTAGTTTAATAATTATCTAGATCACGTGAAATAGTTTTATAATAAAATATTAAAAGTTGTAACTGGTGTGATATAATATAGTTTAGATAGTAGAACACGGTGTGATTTTAATTAGTTGTAAACTTTAAATGCATGATTTAGTTCTTATACATTTAAAATTTTTTAGTTAAGAATAAAAAAACACACACACACATATATATATACACGTATACATTTATAAATTATGGAAATTAGAATGCCATTTAAATGTGACAGCTATTGAGGAGGTTATCCAATTATAGTGGTTTCTTTTAATATGTTCAAATAAAGGCACTTACGTATTAACTTAAATGTTCTTAATTATCTTACTGTATGATTAAAGTTGTATTTTTGTTACTATTTTGTGTAAATTATTAAACAGTTATAACTTAGATAATATTTTATTGATAATTATTAAAATCGGTGTTATGATTAACGACATTGTATTATTATATTAGTAATTTATTTAGTGTCCTTTTTAACTTGTAATTAAAATATTCTGTACAATTATTACATTAATATACTGATTATTAGGTGGTATTGGATTTGCGTTAACTTTTTGGGTTTTTTAAATTTGATTAGAATAAATATTTATTTTTACCATTTAAAACAGTTAGTTTATGCATTTTTTCCTGTAACTAATTATGTGTTTAATAGTAAAGGTTCAATAGTTGAAGTGTATTACATTTAAACTAAAATACATCACGTGATTGTTTAATATACTTCTGATGAAAGTGTACCGATTGTTATTTTTTATCATTGTACATAATATTTTTTCTTTGTTATGTATTTTGCACGTGGTAGGCTGCAAAATAATTCTATATAAGAGTGCTTTTTTTTTTAATTAATACAAAATTCGTCGTATATAAATTATAATATTATAGGTAACTCTTTTATATTCCATCATACCTAATAATGGTTTTAATTGTTTTGGATTTATCTTTTAACTTCTTTATTTTTGATTTTGATATTGTTTGAAGATACTGTTAGTTAATTACTTATATTTCAATGTCTAAATATTCGTTGGTTGGCTTCAAGGATATTTTCTCATTTTTTCCTTGTTCATATCTAAGTTTAATAACTCATTACAGTTGCTATTGTTAACATATTTAATATTAACTATAAAATTTATTATAAAAAATCAATTGAGATGATAACTAATTTTAATTAATTTTATAACATTATATTGATAAATTTATATTGATAGATAAAATTAATTAAAATTTATTTAAGTAGGTATTTCAAGTTTTTCGAATATATTTTCTGATATATTAAACAGACATATTTTTAAATTAAATTATTAATGGGTACTTAATGATACATTTTTATACACCAAGCTTGAAGCACTGGATGTTGGTTATTGTTATTTAGTATGCTAAATCATATAAATTAAATTTCAAGTAAACATTTAATTAATATCTAGTCAATGACATTAAAATTGCAAGTTTTTTAGATAAGATTTGATGACCATTTATTTTGTGATATTAATACACTTATGTCTTTATTTCACCATTATATTTCGTTGGAAATATTCATTAATCATGTCATTATAAATTATCAGTAATTTTTGTATTATATTTATCTTTACACATATAGTTACAAAATATACTTTTACACTCACATATTCATACAGTTACAATTTATTGATTTTAATTACAAGAAATGAAGGTTTCCACGATAAGTGAATTATGACTTTGGGAGGGTAAGGAGGTAAAGAATCCATTCTCTAATTCCCATCTTCTTAAATTTAACAGGGAGAAAAACATTTCTACATATTATTTATACTACAGTTTTTTTTAATTATAATTGTCAATTGACGATTAAAAATTTAAAAATAATTTTTTTTATTTCTATGCACATTTATCATCATTCTATTGATACTGCCATATTGGTTTTTAAATAATTTCATTACCTATAAGTTAATTAATTTTTAGTTTTTATAATTTCTATACAAGAGATCTATTTATATTAGTCAGTACTAAAGGAAATACTAGAAAATATAGTTGCAATCATATTAGGAAAAAAAAATGTGTACATTTTAAAAAATGATATAGGTAATTTATAAATATATTGATTATGATTAATGACTATGATTTTATTCTAAAAGTATTAAAAATTTGATTAAACTTTTATTTAGCATGGAGTTTTTACTACAGTTCACAAATATTATGAGCTTGACGAATGGTTAGAGTTCGCCAAAAACAATAAAGATATTCTACCGCATATGGCTGTATCTTGCGGCACAAATGATTATGAATATGAAAAACTAGAAAGTATACTGAAAGCTATACCAGAAATATCTTTTATCTGCCTCGATGTTGCTAATGGTTACACTCAACAGTTTATCGATATAGTACGAAAAACTCGTTCTGCATACCCTCAACATACGATAATTGTAAGTAATTTTTAAATTTTATTGACTGGTTTATAGTGGACTGTAAAAATAATTTTTTGTTGAATTTTTGACATCATATTTACTTATTGTTTTCTTATGTATACAGATTGTAAATGTTTTTTCTAAAAAAAGAAAATTTTTTTTTTTAATTTTAATGCAAATGAAGTTTGATAATGAATATTTATTTTATGATACGAGTACATAACCAACCCTAAATAGAATAACTTATTTTTGAAATTTTAAATAATACGAACAGTACATGCAATTTATTTTTTCAATTATTTTTATTAATCAAAATAATTATAAAACTTGATTTAAAATTGTTTAAAATTGTAAAATTATGAAATTGAAAAATAATATTATGTCTAAATATTTACTTTAAGGCTGGAAATGTGGTTACTGGTGAAATGGTTGAAGAATTAATTTTATCTGGAGCTGATATTATAAAAGTTGGAATTGGTCCAGGATCAGTATGTACTACTCGTATTAAAACTGGTGTAGGATATCCTCAGCTGAGTGCGGTCATAGAATGTGCAGATGCTGCTCATGGGTTACAAGGCCATATTATTTCTGTATGTATCCATTATGTAATATTATAATTTATTTATTTCTAATGTTCATAATAAATTATTATCCAATGTTCTAATTATTCATAATATAATTGTATTAAAAGATTAAAAAATGTATTAGGATGGCGGATGTGTTTGTCCTGGAGATGTTGCCAAGGCATTTGGAGCTGGAGCAGATTTTGTTATGCTCGGTGGGATGCTAGCTGGACATGATCAAAATAGTGGTGAACTAACTATCAAACCAAATGGTACAAAATGTAAACTATTTTATGGTATGAGTTCATTAACAGCAATGAAAAAACATGTTGGTGGTAAAGCTGAGTATAGGTATATTATTATCACTGAATATTTTGTGTACAATTATGATTGATAATGATATTTGTATAGAGCTGCTGAGGGTAAAGCTGTTGAAGTACCATATAGAGGTGATGTGAATGATACTATTCTAGATATACTTGGCGGTCTTCGTTCAGCTTGTACATATACTGGAGCTCATACTTTAAAAGAGTTGCCCAAGCGTGCAACGTTTATAAGGTGCACTCAGCAAATTAATTCTATATACTCAAATATAACTACTCAAGAATAAGTGTCAATATTCTTATATCTGATGTATACTTGATTGCATGATGTACTTTATGCTTATTTGTGCAAGTTTTTTTTATTAATTTTATAGAATCACTTATTCCAAATTAAAAATTTACATTATTTGAGTTATTTTAGGATATGAGTCTGTTTTAAAAGGTTTTACTGAAATTATTATTTTTACATATTTAATTATAATTTTGAATTTTGTGATTAAAATGTTTTTTCATCGTTGCTTTAATAATTTGTTAATGTTTAAAAATCTATTGGCGAATTGTTTTAGTTTAAATTTATAATTTAGATTAGGTTGATTTTTCATGTTTAGTTTTTAATAGTCGAAATGTTGCTAAGTATATTGTAATACAAAATTATTTACTTTAGATCGGAAATAACTTGAATTCAACACAATATCATTTGAAAACTGTGATGTAATTTTTATGTTTTTAAAAACATTCTTAATTTATAAGTTCAAAAAATATTTATAAATGTATGATTATTTATTTATTATATATGATTTAATTATAGATTTTTAAAATTAAGTTTATTTATGTTGTATAAAATTGATAAATAAGTCATTGGAAAAAATGAATTTTTTGGATTAAAATATTTATAAAGATATTTAAAAAAATAATTTAGTACATTTTTTTTCTTCAAGTTTAATTTAAAATAAAATGATGAATTATTTTTTACTGTTCAAATTATCAATAATAACTATATTGGTAATTTTTATTCTAATAACTGGTTTAATACATAGGCTTTTTTTTTTTTTAATTATTCTATATTTTCATGAATCTAATAAATAAAAAAATAAATTTAATTTAAAAAAAATCAATTTAAAATAAATTATAGAAACTATAAATGATTTTCAACAAATTTTGTTTTTAATTATTTCATAACTCTGTGATTAAATAATAAAATATTAAAACCACTATCATAAATACCTTTGACTTTTTTAATTTATTAATTAATACATTTAATGTGATAAGTAGAATACATTTTTTCACTAATTTTTTAAATTGCCTAATTTAATTTCCACTAATTTATCAATTTCAGTTTGGTTCATTTCAACTACATAAATCTTTTTCATTTCTTTATACTGTTGTTTATTATGACATAAATAAAGTGGTTATGATACCATGCCATGTTTTTTGTCTACATTATACTTCTTATTTGCTGTTGTATTATTATTATAAAATTTCATCTTGTCCTTTGTTTTTTTAACTCGGAGTCATAGGTTTTTATTCAAGTCATCAATAAGTCTATATTTGTAATATTCTGTGTGTATAGTTTATTTTGAACATTAAACAGTAAACCTGTAATAATCAAATTTATTCTGGATATATTAGACATAAAACTCTTAATTTCAAGTAATAACCATTCTTTCTTTAAAGCATAATAAATAAGTGATCCGTTTATATATTTTAAGTTATTAGCAAAAATTTAATTTGGCCAGTCTTTATCAGCATATACTAATAAAAGGGAAATTGATCATTCTGACCAGCAGCATAACGACAATTTCTTTGCATTATTTTCTAATACCAACCTTAACTTTTTATTTTCATCTGTGACTTTGTATCAGTCACATTCTTTCTCAAATTGCTCTAGCTACTCTTTTGCTTTCTGCTGTTTACCAGTAAATTTATCCATAACAAATTTTTTTTCTATATCAGCTAATGATATCTTTCTTACATCTAGTTGGACTTTTAAATCTTTTACATCATTTTGATTATCCATTTCATATTTAACACATTTTTTTAAGTCCTCATCGGTAGTATTTTTTTCTTCTATACATTTTTATAAATAGTGCATTTTAAGCATAAAATTAAGTTAATTATCTGTATATAAAGCACTTACCTCTATTGGTAACATGTCTGTTAAATTATGATTGACATACTCTTGCGTGCATTTTTCACAATGCTAATTTGAAACAAATCCTAATGGATACTTTCATATTGAGCATTAAAGGGGAATATATAATATGTTGTATCACCTGTAGATCTGATGATCTTTATGTTACTCAACCATTCATTAAACATCTTCTTTTCATATTTGACTGTAATATTCATAGGCATCTTCATTAAAATAAAATAAATATTGATTTGTATATCTGTTTCTAAGAGTTTCTTCTTAAATAAATAACACGGTGATCGATTTTTACTATAAGAATCTTTTATTAATAAATACATAATACACAAATTGTAATAAAAAATAACAAATACATATTTACAATTAAAAAATCGGTAATTTAGAGTTTTTATATTTAAATTTAATACAATTTATATAATTTAATAACAAGTGAATAAAGAACATGAACACATATAATATTGCTGTTTATGAAATAATAACACGGAATAAAACAGAATGGACACTGATAACAAATTACATGGGTAGCATAGGACAATAATGAGAGTGATTGGCACTTGTCCGAAAAATGATAAGGACCTAAGAAATGATAAGGTCCGAAATTGAAGGGTCCGGTGCATAGAGTAATACTCTATGGTCCGGTGTAAGAACCGGCTATCTCCAATTTGTTTGAAAATGCATATTTTTACATTATCTGATAACGAAGAATTTTGTCTACATTTCGATGCAATAATCGGCTATGTCCGTTCATTAGATAGCCTAATATCATACAAATGGAGATGTTTGGTATACAGTTACGGTGCAACAATCGGCTATTTCCGGAGATACCCGGTTATTGTATCGAGACATGGGCAACACTGTATAATAGTGCAAAATTCCGAAAACTAAAATATAATGTCCCTAATATTAATATCACATTGTTTAATGTTATTTTTATTTTTTTTTTACATTTTTATAAGGTATGAGTTATTTTATTTCGTTTCTTAAATATTTTGTTTAATATAGTATCTTTTACTTAGATACTATTTTTTTAAAATTTTTATAAAGTGTGAGTTATTTTATTTCGTTTCTTAAATATTTTGTTTAATATGGTATCTTTTACTTAGATACTATTTTTTTAAATTTTTATAAAGTATGAGTTATTTTATTTCATTGTTTAAATATTTTGTTTTACTTGTAATACCTAGTTACTTGTTTTTTCTTTTGTTAAAATATGTTATATATTAATAATAATGTATTAGTAAATATATGTTATTTATTATTTGGTTACGTTATTGGTTTTGCAACGATGTGTTTTGTTTTTTGTGTCTCCTAATACTTTTTTTGTAGTTAAAATGTTTCAATTTTCGACTTCAATAGTGCAGTACATTTTCCGATACATCGAAAAGTGAACCTAATTTATTATTTGAATGTTAAAGAGGTCAAAAATTAAGGGTAAAACAAACAGTAATATTTTTTTTCATTTTTATAAATCATAAGATTCGGTGCAATAACCAGCCATCTCCACATTTTTTTAGTGAATTTATTATTATAAATCAAGAATATGTTGTATTATTATATATTGTTTTGTAAAACATAACTATAATACATAGTTTTAAAGTTTTGCAACTTTTTAATATTTATGATTATA